GAAATTGATGAACCTGTCGCGATCGTCTGCGTTGTAAAGCAGGAAGAACCAGTTTTATTGATATGCCCAGCAGTGGAAGAGAAAGCACATGTTACAGAGGAAGCGGAAATTATAATGCCGGAAGACAATTCACCGGAAGAAACAAAACCGGAACAAGAGACCGACATCACTGATGGGAAACCTAGCGAGACAAATGAGGAATCGCCAGAAAAAGAAAGTGGACAAAATGAAACTTCTGATGTTGAATACTGAAAGACATTATATAAATACTTAAGTATAATTCTTCCTGTAAATATTGAGACAGAATAAACTTTTATGTCGCACGTTTTTTCTCGTACAAGATGACTGAAACGAATCATATTTTGATAATAAACCAGGTTCAAACATTTTGAGGACAAGCTTATTCAAAGAATATGTGTCCATCGCTGAAGGAAAAACGGGGGAGGATGCTCAGATTAGGGTTGACCTTCCCCCTTCTCCGAATTTGCAGAATTACTAAATTATGTACTGAAGCAAAAAAAAAAAAAAATGCAAATATGGATATAAAGATTTGACTGCTCATTTTTTAAAATATTCTTTTAATATGAAATATTTATTACATTATCGATCCGGGGGTTTTTCACTTGCAAAGCGAGAACCTTTCCACTCGGCCATCGACGAACTTAAATCTAATGATTACATCACATTCTACACTGTCAAAATTTTACCAGCGTGTCTAGTTTACCCTCTACCACACCTTAAGGCTTTTGACTTCAAAATCAGTAGGCGTCTTCTTTAGACCATAGGGAGTTGTCATGTAGAATTTTTAAAAGTCGCAAAAGTTAAAAGGCTTCTTGAGATATCCCTTGGAAATGAAAGTGTGACAGAAATGCAGCCGAACGGAGGGGCGTACAGAAGGGCGATGGGGAACGGAGGGAGTTTTGGTGTAACATTTAATCGCAAAACTCAAAAGGTTCTAGAGATATCGCCCTGAAAAGAAAGTTTTACTAACACATGCACATATATAAAATGTATGAATTTACGATCTTGACCTGTGACCTGTTGACCTTAAATTCAATAGAGATCTTCTTTAAGCCATAGAGAGTTGTGATTTAAAATACCATTGCAAAAGCTCAAAGTTAATGCGGAAACTGTTAAAACAGACATAATTTTTAAATTGATGACTTTTACCTTTAACCTTTTGACCTCAAAATCAAAAAAGGGACCTGCCGTAGGCCACTGGAAGTTATTATGTAAATTTTCATTGCAGAAGTTCACAGGCTTCTTGAGATATCGTGTGGAAACGAAAGTGTTACCCACAGACAGAATCCAATACAGACGGACGGATAGACAGCTAGATATCGACAGACACATCGAAATTGCACAGAAATATCATTCTATGAAATTTTTTTGTATAATTCATAGTAAAATATACAAATATCCAAACTTATTTTGGAATAATATACAACAGTATAAATAGACATTAAAATCAGGCGCGGATCCAGAAATTTTTCAAAGGTGGGGTTGAAGTATTTTTCAAAAGGGGGGGGGGGGGTTGAAGGCGAGAACAGTTAAAACGTACGTTGTACACATACATATAGTTAAATAACTTAATAGAATATCGATACAGGGTGGAGTATGGTTTTTGAAAGTGGAACGTTGATCAATCTGGGAAAAAGTACTTGTATACATTACCAGAAAATTTTTGAAAAAGAAAGGAAAATAAATCTCCGAACCTGAAAATCCTATTTTGTAAAGGGATGGGGTTTTATTTTGTTTTTACAACCGAATTTCTTTATATATTACAACAGTAGCCTTTCACCTTACATTTTCTATAGTAAAAACACACCAAAATATTGGAATTTTCTTATTTCTCTTTCTTTTTTGCAAATCCAAAGGGGGGGGGGGTTGCAACCCCCGTAACCTCCCCTCTGGATCCGCCACTGAAAATGAAGCACAAAGTTGAAGACTATATTGATGTATTCGAACTCTTCAACTTCTGGGAAAAAGGCAATTAAGTTCAAACTATGTGGCATACATATGTTTGTCCTTAATTGTGTCTGTATAGCCTAGTGGTGTGTGATGACCTGTTTTTGCATTTGGGGTCTCTGGTTCAACTTCACCCAGCCCCTATTCCAGATTTTAATCAGGAAATATTTCCTTTTTTGTTTTGTTATACAGTACTTAAAAAACTAATTTTACCAATTTAATGTATACATGTACCTCATCTCCCACTCTACCTCCCCTTCCTTCTTTCTCACCACATCCTCTCCCCAATCACTCCCTCTCCCTCCCCTCCCTCATCCCACCCTCTCACCCTCACCTCTCCCTCTCACCCTCTCTCTCTCTCATCACTCCCTCTCTCTCCCACCACTCCCTCTCTCTCACCACTCTCTCTCTCTCCCACCACTCTCTCTCTCTCACCACTCTCTCTCTAATTTCTTTCTCCCACCACTCCCTCTCTTCCGCTTTCTTTCTCACCACTCTCTCTCTCTCCCTTTCATCACTCCCTCTTCCCCCCTCTCTCTCTCACCCCTCTCTCTCACCCTCTCCCTCTCCCCCTCTCTCTCACCACCCCTCTCTCTCCCTCTCTCTCACTCCCCCACACTCTCTCTCTCTCTCTCTCTCTCTCTCTCACCACTCTCTCTCTCCCCCACCACTCTCTCTCTCTCCCTCTCTCTCACCACTCCCACTCCACTCTCTCTCTCCCACCACTTTCTCCCTCACTCCTACCTCTCGAAAGCTGAGTAAGAGAGAGTTAACGTCTCCCCACTCCACCTAGGAGTATGGAGTCGATAAGACATATGAATAGGAAAGGTAAAAAGAAAGGGAAAAGTTACCTTTTTTTTTTTGTTGCTGTTTATTTTTCTGCTTTGCAACTTTTCGATACAAGCTTTATATACGAAACATTATGAAAAAGTAATAAACACTAGTGTTTTAAGTCTGGCATTATTATAATCGCCAAAATTTACGGTGTTGGTTAGTAGATTCAAACTAAGTCACAACCAATAATTTTTAATTATGATTTTGAACATTCTTGAAAAATTAATTTTCCAAAGAAACATTTTTCTGATTATTTATAATCATGAACTAAACCATAGAAATTTGCAACGCATAACAAACGTTTGCGCTAAGAATCGAGCTGCTGAACCATTAAAAGTGCCAAATACGATCCCCATTAATACTACTTAAACATTGTATGTGCATGTCACATTTTCAGTTTAAAATTGTTTTTCAACTTGTATTGGTAATTAAAAAGACTTTGTACATGATTATTCACGTATAGGTTGCAAATTTATTTTACTGTAATTTATTCATATACACACTGTATGACAATGAACAAAAAAACTAAATTAAAAGACATATCGGTAATGAACATGTCACTAAATCGTTCTAATTCCTTTTATCGTTGGCGTGCATGTTTCTGGCCATAAAGGATTTGATATAAAAGTATCACTAGTACACATATTTGGTTTACTCTACTGAAGATTTGGTGTAACACTGCCGCATTTGCGGGATCTTGCTGAATGGGGTGTAAATTGGTGGGTTATTGGACCAATCAATTATAGTTTTTTTTTTAATTCCAAGTCATTCGGTTATATCCTGGCGTGAGTCAACATAATTTTTTTAAAGATGTTATACGGAAGATTCGATGCTCAGTTCGAACCCCCCCTTATAGTTTGTACACGTCGTGCGTCTAAAATTTATTAGTTCAGATGCTAAATTCTATTATTTAGGTAGCCTAATTGAAAAAGAAAAAACAAAATCGGGATTACAATCTTTCCCCTCGAACTTGACATGGTGATGAATTCAATGCAAACAACAGGTCACATGTACATATCGTACATGTATGCATGTTTACATCACGTTTCATTGTTCATTTTTTTTTTATAATAAAACCAAGTGCGTCTAGTTTACAGCCTCTTCCTTTAATTAATGAAGATACGTAAAACATCTTTGTAAAATCTATGTATACTTTAGTATAACCCTGTATTTAATTTTTTTTTGCTAAAAAAATTATTAAATCTCTTGTACAAAAAAAGGTTCATATTATATAAGTCTGCGTGGGAACATCTTGTCGCAGGTAATGTACAGGTCAAGTATGAATTTAAAACCTTACTTCTCATTTAAAAGTTATAGTAAATAAGGAAAGATAAAATTGCTGTAAAAATGTATTGAAAAGAAGATATTAAATCATTCAGTAAAAATAATTATAATAGTACATTTTGAAAGATCCTGTCACATGCAGGTAATATACATCCATATGTACATGTGAAAGCCCTAAGCCGTATCTCTTCTCATGCATTCAAAAGTTATGACATTCTTTTTTTTGTGACAGACAGAATGACAGAGGAATTTAATGGTCCTTGCGAGGGGGACAAAAACTCCCGATATTCATGATTCTGACCAGTACATGTAGCACCCCCCCCCCCTCGAAAAAATAAATCAGTACTGTCCAAATTCTAAAATCCTATTTCCATTGGGTGTGGAGGGTAAAGGAAAGAGGCAATATGTAACTCCCAGTTTTGTTGTGTCGTTTTTGAATTTTCTGAAATTTACAACTGCGCGACCTTATAGTACATGTACAGAAATAAAAAAAAGGGGTAATTACCTACATTTGCCTGTGCTTTTCCATGCAAAGATTTTCATTAAAAACCTTTGGAAAACTCGTATAGACTTTGAACTGAATGAACAGCATCAGTTGAGAATCACAAAATGTTATTAAAACGCGAAAGCTTCGCGTTATTACGCGAAAGTTGCGCGTTTTTCGTGAAAGTTTCGCGTTCTACCGCAAAAAAATATTTTTAACCTACGAAAATGGACTGTGCTTTCGTAATTTGGTAATCTAAAATATAATATTTAATTTTTTTTTGAGATAAAAACCCCTCCCCTCCCTCAGTAGATCATAGATATATAACTATAGGTCTTTATAGTACAACGGAGCTTCTGTCCAAAATCCGGAATTGAGCACTATTTCGGTTACAATTTTCACTATTATGCAGCACTCTCAAGATCCGGTTGTAAATTATGGCATCAATTGCAAGATTGGACGGAAAAGTCGCTCTTATTACAGGTATGTCAACGCTTTGTTTAAACATGGCAATTCTTTATCGATAAATAGAAAGGATGTCTTATATATTTTTATGACCTTTAGCAGTATTTGATGCACATTGTCGCATTTTTAATGAAAATGGTTGATACATTGAATGGACGCCCACAGATGACAATTTAAATATTAGTAAACGTGTAATAAAGTCAAATTAACCCTGGCATCAAATATCAGGCAAGAAAATTATAGGAGAACATCTCTTAAACTGCCAAACCAAGCGGTGACTTTGCTTGCAATCAGTAAGTTAACTATTACTATGGTCATTGCTGAACATACAATGATACATGTACATACAAAGTCATGTGTATGTAACGTAACATGATTTGTTTATTTAATCATGTCAATTCCCATTCTCTTAGAGAAGTGGACATGCTTTAATTTGCCTAAACCCATGTAGGCAAAAGCCTGTCCACTTCTCTAAAGAGAATAGTCAATTCCTATTGTGATTCGATTATGTGCAGTAGCCAATAAAATGAAGTGACCCTGTATAGCCCACTGGTGTTAAGAAAAGGACAAGATTGCCCCTGGGTATCTGATGATTGTTAGGCATTTTGTGTCCAGTAAATTTCATTCACGCTATTGCAGGCCAGGGCAGAAGTTCAGGTACTCTCAGCTAATTACTGTGAAATTACAAATTTTCGTGGGGGGTTAATTTTCGTTGTTTTTGAGGTATGCAGAAACCCACTAATTCATGTCCACCACAAAATGTAAAATGTTAAATGCATAACTACTCAACAATTCTTCATCCACGAGTTCAAATCCCCACAAACCAAGAGATTTTGCTTAAACCATGAAAATTTGACCCCTGGATGAAAATATTTGATTTTACTGGAAGTCAGAAAATGATTCCCTTCCTTTGTTACACATTCACAGTCCACAAAAGAATGTTTGTGTCAACAGTGATAATCCGATATTGCTCACTTACAAATATATAGACAATATAATAATTATACATTTCACTGTGAAGTTTTGGACAGGTCAAAGATTATACTCATTACTTTTTTTCTGCTGGTACATTGAACTTTCCACACTAAGCATGACTATGGCATTTAATAATTAGTACATTGAACATGTATTTGATTTCTAGGGGCCAGTTCTGGTATTGGTGCAGGGACAGCCATCTTGTTTTGTAAATTGGGAGCAGAAGTTGCCATTACTGGTAGAAATGTAGAAAATTTGAATAAAACAGCAGCTGAATGTGAGAAAGGAAATGGAAAGAAGGTTTGTAAAACTTTAATATTCATAAAAAAAAAATTTTTCAACATGCTCAAGTCTATAAAAAAAACTTACAAACTTGAGTATTTTTCACTTTCATGAAAGGGACAGACTGGTTTCCTATATGTATATATGTAACTGACAGATTTTTAACTTTTATGTTGTTTTTATAGCCCTTTACACTTGCTGGTGATTTGACCAATGAAGATTTTGTGAAACAGCTTGTAGAAGAAACCGTAAAACATTACGGGAAATTAGACATTCTGGTGGGTGACATTCTATAATTATCCTTATTAATAAGTAAAAAAAAAAAATAAATGTAAATACAATACACATTAACATACATTTATTCACTATATTTCAAGTGAGTTAAATGGAAATAAAACTATATTTAAGTAAATACCCTTCTATTTAATATTGGGGCATAGGATTTGTCTATATAAAAATTGTTAAAAATAAAAGCGTAAGAAGAAAAAGTCTCATTAACCTGTATAAATAATTTATCCTTTGTAGGTTAATGATGCAGGAATAGTAAAAAGTGGAACCATAGAAACAACATCGCTAGAGCAGTATGATGAAGTCATGAATATCAACGTCAGGTTGTGGGTTTTTTTGGTGCAATACTTTTCCATTTTCATAATTTAGAGCACAAAGCACACATATTTATGAAAAAAATATGAAAGGGATGATTTGAATAGTCAACATACACAAATACATGTAAGTTTTTTAATAAAATAATGTGATAAAATACATATTGAATTATTCAAGTTAAATTGAAGTATTTGACAAATGTTTTACATATCAATTAACGTTTAAAGACATTTTGAACATTTCATGCTAAAAATAAAAACTAAGTATTTAAGAAATAAAGTCCGCGTTTTCATGAATGTTGCAGAATAACATCTGAGGTCGAGAAATATTGTTTGAAAGATAAAAGCTGAGGCGTTAGCCGAAGCTTTTATATTTCAAACAACATTTCGAGACCGAGGAGGTTATCCTGCATCATTCACGACAACAAGGACTTTATTTCTATTCTGCTAAGATCGATCCCTAAAATACGGCGATCGTTTCCTCTACAGAGAAAAGAATTAGGTCACCATGTCTCGATTACTCGGTTCCATTTAACACCAGAGGGAAAATTTGTTTGCTTTTTATACCCCCGCAAACGAAGTTTAGGGGGGTATATTGGAATCACCATGTCCGTCTGTCTGTCCGTCCGTCTGTAGACAAGATTTTGTCCGGACCGTTTCTCGGAAACTGTTGGATGGATTTGTCTGAAAATTTATACACTTATTATTCACCATATGAAGGTGTGCACCTGGTATTTTCATCATGATTGGATGATTTTTCTGCATTTTACAGGAGTTTTTTCTTTTTTTATTTTGTGATTTTGTTTGGCTCATAACTAGAAAACTATTAGACTTACAATCATCAAACTTGGACAATTTATGCATCTTGGGTAGAGGGTGTGTCACGACCTATTTCAAGGTCACTGTGACCTTTAATTTAAGTGATTTGTTTAAAAAACTAAGTCTTTAAAATTTTAAATTTCATAATCCTAAAAAAATGTAAAAATATAGTTGAATCCTTATTTAAAAATGCTAAATTAAGTAAAAACTTATTTTTTCATCATATAATTTACAGCAAATTCTGTAACAAATATTAATGTTTTGAGAGGAATTCAATTTGTCCCATGGGCATAATTATCAAGCACTGGTCAAGGAGAATTTTGATAGCAGAAATGTGCATGTCAAATTAGAGAGAAATTAATGAGTTTATTGTCGGGAGTTAACTGGCAGGAGCATACCTAGATCTGATCATGCAGCGTTATCTTAATTTATCTCTTGAGAGTTGGGCAAAAAGAAATGGCCAGTAGCTTATAGTTGTTTAGTTGTTAATTAAGAGTTCTTGATGGCTATAGTCCAGGTAAAGATCTTTCAATTGGTGTAATGTAATTAAAACAAATTGATGTTTTAGTGTATGATTAAAACTGAATTAGTACTGTATAATATAATTAAAATTAATTATACATGTGTTCATTGAAAAAAAAAATTACATTTCAATTTTTATATATTTGCAACAAATGTCTCACATAGAATTTTATAGTCTAAAGAATAATTAATTTTTGATTTTTTTTGTTAGACTGTAGCATTTCCATTATTTCACAAACTATGCAATAAACAATTTAAAGCTGCAGATGGATATTTGTTAAGGATACACCAAAGGCTTTTTTCAAGATTTTTGTCAATTTTGAGATTTTTGGTTAAGAAAACAATGCTAATCACTGCTTTATAATGCATAAAAATATTAAATGGTTTTCTAATTATTTAACAATAATCAAACATAAACACTAACACATGTGAATGTGCCGTTATTGAAGCTTCTGATTTGGTCTGTTACTGCCTGCTTCTGAAAGGAGCAATAAATCACTGTGACCACTTGGGGAATTCTTCACTAGCCACACAAAGGTTATCATTAATTAAACTACAGGGACTCTAGATTTAGGGAAGGAGATCTTACAGGTCACTAATGACCATGAAATAGGAGGTGGAGCTTAGCTCTTGCCATTTTGCCGGGAAATCTTTCTGATTCAGAATTGAACCTATTTTACTTCATTAAAAGCACCTAAATAAAGAAAAGAACCTCCCATTCTTGTGAATATGCATAGGAAATATGGATAAGTGACAGGTATCCAAAGCTGAATCTCCAAGGTGTCATATATTTCTAGCTTTGGCAGACTTTGTTGTGTAATGGGTTTTTGCCCTCTACTGTAAAGTAAGATCAGACAGTTGATGGTATTATTTCAAAGGATTCAGCTCCCTTATTTATTGACCAATTTCTCTGAAAACTGGCCAGAATGCGTCTCAAATGTGTGTTCACAAAACCGTATCTCAGATTTTTGATATCTTGCTCAGTTCTCGAATTACTGGGGGAAATGTAGAATTAGGCTCATAAATTGGTAACATTGAAAGCCAAATGGATGTAACTTGGGAATAAGAAGATTTATCAAAAATCTGAGATACGGTTTTAAAGTTCAATCTTTAATCTACATTGAGGCAAAATTTCGACTTTGAGAGGTGGAATACAAAAAAGTTGATTTATAAAATATAGATGCACTAATATTTACATTAAAATATTAATAATTTTTCAATAAGATAAAAATGAAAATTTAAACTAGACTCATTAAATAGTAAATTTAACAAGCTTTAAAATGATATATACTTTTATCTTTGATAATGAAAGAATTACAAGTAATTAAATTTTGCACTTTGGAAACTTTTTGTGTATCCTTAAGTGCTCTAACACAGCCAGTTTAATATATATTATATTAATTTATATGATGTATTATTTGTTTTAATTAATCCCTACACTGTAAGTCTCTTGGAGATGTATGTACAATATTTTAAACATGATAAGAAATGGAAATTAGATCATTGAAATCTGTGTCAATCTGTTAATCAAGGTTACTTGATTTTCTTGCACCCTAACCAATTTATGATTATTGAACAATATTTGACGGGTGTATCATACTTTGGCTGGGCACTTTATTTGACAATAGTGAACACCTCTAGATCCGTAAAATATTTTTTGAATTGGCACCTACTCTGAAAAACCCAGCGGGGGTATTTGTCCCTGTTGGACAGTTCTAGTTATACCTGTGTATGGAATGCAGACAATTTGAGCTTTCATTGCATTAAAAGTAACCTTTTTGAATAACAAATTTGTTTGTAATATGTATTGATTAATTTTAATGAATATACAATAACAAAATTAAACTCATTTTCCTGTTGTAATGCTTTATTGGGACTAGTCTAAAATCACATTGTTTAAATGTGTAGGGAGGTCCGTAGAATAGCCCGCTTAGCTAAAAATTAAAACTGACATTCATCAGCAACTTCATGCAATTTACAGTGTTTAAACTGCAAAATACGACACATTGATGTGGTCGAAACAAGTATTTCATACTACAGCCAAATATACATTTGAATTGTTCAGGTTTGATACATGTTTCTGATTAAATAATTTTTTGATGACATTAATGATTTATTGGAGAATAAGGTCCGCGGCATCTCTTTGATCTCGGCAGTAATCTTGGTAGAATAAAAAATATTTCTTTATGATTATTTAAATAAACTGGTAAATAAAACATATTGATTTTTATTTATTCCAGTAGCAAACAAATTGTAGGTAATTGTTCTATGATTGGTTACTTGTGTTTTCAGATCTATTTATCACTTGACCATGCTAGCAGTTCCTCATCTGATAAAAACAAAAGGAAGCATAGTGAATGTATCTAGTGTCAATGGAGTTAGATCTGTGAGTACTAGTATATTCTTAATTTAGATTTTCTTGTTGGTAACTCATCTGTATGGAATTAATGTTTATATACTAGATATGTATGTAAAGTAGATTTACATGTGAAATATTCTGATTTTCCTGAGATTGATTGATCCAGACTAAAAATGTTTATGTTTTTATTTTATTCATGTTTCCTTTTAATTTTTGTTAGTTTCCAGGAGTTCTTGCACACTGCATGTCAAAAAGTGCTGTTGACCAATTCACCAGATGTACAGCCATAGGTCAGTGTTTCTAATTAAAACATTCATCAACAAGAATGTCTGCAGTTGATATAAATTCATACGGAAGTATTGTTTCTTGTTAAAAATGATTCGAAAAAAAAAAACTGTTTGGGAGAAGGACCCTACATCTGACTTGGAAATTTTTGAAAGACCCCCCCCCCCCCCCCCCCCCCCCCCAAATAAACAAAAACTAAAATTTAAAAAAATCAACGAACAAGGAAAAAGATAAAAATTGATTAGCAACATACGTAAATCTGAAAACATATTTTATGGGAGTGGTGTTGAGGGATTAGGTGGAGACACTTCCAAAGTCAAACTTTATTCACTAATACATGACTCTCCTTACTGTTTCCATTCCTAAGGGGAGGGAGAGGATTCTAGGGTCAATTACTTTTACATAGAAATTTAATTATTTTGAAAAGGTGGGGGGGGGGGCACTGACCTACTCTAGATTTTTCAATGAGTATGTCCCACATAAATAAAGCAGCACCATGTTGATACATGTATTTAATATAAAATTTCAGAGTTGGCACCAAAACAAGTTAGAGTTAACAGTGTCAAGTAAGTATATTCATTCCTTTTCCACTGATACATGTATATGGGATTTTGGAGTAACTGCTTCAAATATATTTTTTCTGCCAATTTATATAAGGTACTAGATTGACTTTTAATCATATTTATGAAACAAATTTAGATATAGTGCATTATGATTGCTTGATGTGTTTTTCAATGAATAGCACTATATGTGTTTCAAGAAAGGGGTTTTGAGATATCCTTGTAATTTTTTTTATCTTGAAAATTGTAATTACCTATATAAAATAGAGGGGAAAAAAATGAAATTCAGATACAAAATGATATAGATTCATCACAATAGAAGAAAATGTAATAAACTATTCTTTATGTTGACTTACTCAAACATTGTAGTAAATATCAATGAAAATATTTTTTTATGTTTTAGATTTATATTCAAATTTTTAATTGTTTTGGAATTTTACAATGGTTGCGTGTTATTGTTGAACTTAAAACTTTCGATTTGTAGCCCAGGAGTGATCTTAACAGAAATCCACAAAAGAGGGGGGATGGATGAGGAGGCCTATCAGAAGGTTAGATTTCATCTCCCTTTGCATTTATATTGATTGTAGAGACATTTATGAAAAATTTTTGTGGTTTAGAAATATTTTTACTGGGTAGTCTCTTTTTGTTTAACAGTAAAGAGTATACTCGCTACCCATTCAGGAAAGATTGTTTTAAAACAAAACTATTTAGATGTGTTTGTAAAACATTATGCGCCCGATGGCAACAAAGTTCGAAAAAAAACATTTTTAGCATGTAGGTCAGTCAAGGTCACAAGGTAATTGTCCTTGGTGTAATTTGAAAGAGCTTAATTAGTGGGGTATGCATACCAAAATATGACATCTTTATCTCTCATGGTTCAAAAATTATGGCGAAGGTTCGAAAAAGCATATAGGTCACAGTCAAAGTCACAAGATCATTGACCTTTGTGTCAATTGAAAGAGCTTAATTAATGGAGTATGCTTATCAAATTTGAAGACTCTATCTCTCATGGTTCAAAAATTATGGTAAAGATTAAAGTTGACAGACAGACTGACAGACAGACAGACAGGACAAAAACAATTTGCACCTCAATCTATCGATCCTGGAGCATAAAAAAAATAATAGAAAGTGTCTCGCATATTTCACACTCTATAACATTTAAATTCATACAAATAGAAAAAATACCGGTTTGGCTACATACTACATGTAAATTAGTATCAAAATTTATATAAAATTCAAAATTAATGATTTTAATTACAGTTTCTTGAGCGTACTAAAACTACACATGCCTTAGGACGGCCAGGCCAAGTAGAAGAGGTGGCCAATACAATAGCCTTTCTAGCGTCCGACAGCGCTTCCTTTATCACCGGGGTACAGATTCCAGTGGATGGGGGAAGGCATGCACTCTGTCCACGATAACACAGAGAAACATAAAAGTTACAATAAAAAAATTTCCAGTGTGTCTGAATGTGTTCAGTGTGGAGAATTTTTTGTACTTACTCTGTTGAAGTTTTTATTTGATAGTGAATTGGAAAGCTATGAGATATAGCAAATTTTGTGAAAAAACATGCTTTAGGGATTGGAAAAGAGGTTCGTTCCAAATACAGTCTGTGATTTTAGTATGAAGAAATTATTTATATTTGCACCGTGAAGAATTGTAATTTAATCAGGGAATTACAAAATTAAAAACAAAAGAAAAAATTGTGTCATTTTGAACTCATGCGAGCTGAGAGCTCAAATGAGATTTTTAACAACATAAAATGTAATAACGCAAAATGTAATTATAAACCGTGATTATTGCTTTTTGCATTATTACAATTTGCATTGACATCAATGCAGAATGTAATAACGCAAACTGTACTAACATACTTAAAGTAATAACTCTTTCCTATCCAATGTGATCAGGTGAGTGGTGTGGCCCATGGGCATCTCGGTTTATGGAGATGTATATCAATTTTTTTCCCTTTACTGAAGTTCTTCAGAAAAAGAGAATTTAATATGTTGCATTTTATCATCTAATGGAAGTTTGATAGATGAAACCAAAAAAAAAAGAATTTATTGATTTATTTCAACAATAAATGCTTATAAATGGAAAGTAGACTAAATTCAAATTGTACTACATTGAGTATGCATTTTTTAACACCAAAGAAATTTAAATCTATTAATTTAGTAAATCTCGCTGGAGTGATTGTTTCATTTCAAGTATTATAAACATGCATCTTCTCCAATAACTGTATACTAGAGAACAACTAATTGCATGAATTGTGATGGTATTTTTTCGGATGATTCTTAGATACAATGTGAAGAAATCCAATGGCTTATAAATTCTGTCTTAGGCTATATAACAACATCATAGGACAGATGTTTATTTTACTCGTCATGCACCCCCCCCTTCCCCCAAGTTTAATACGTCTGGAAAAAGTGTAAGGATAAGGGCGCTTATACCGGGTATTTTGCAATAACTGACTTTCGAACCAATAATTAAACTTGCTTGAACCACAATTCAGAAGTACCTAATCGCATATTCAATTTATCAATAGGTTCTACAGTTCAATGGATAATAATTATATACTAGATGAGATCTCGTTACGAGCAACGAGTAGGTCTTCCGTTGAATTTCTCTATAAGATGAGATGTGATTTTGACTGCGATATTCGTTAAAAGAGAATAACATTAGGTTTTCCTTCATTAAATCTAAAGTTTCTGATTTTTATCACGATATTTTGAACATCTTTTGTTCAATATGGTTTATAAATATACTCCCCCTTTTCGAGACATAAAGCATGAAAAATATAGCATTTTGGCCCCTTGCAGCCCCTTATGACCAAATTTTATAATATATTGTTGCAAATCGTTAAGATGAATATCTTTGCTTCTGTAATATATCACAAAATATTGATCATTAAAGAGGTACAGATGCAAGATTTTTGGCTCCTCTCAGCCCCTAATTTGAGGGGTCAGACCCTTTTTCTTGATATCAAATGAAAGGTCTTGTGATTTCAAGGACTTTTGGTTCAACACCTCTTAAGAGATTTCTTTTCCATGTGGAGACCTGCTTCATATTAATATTTTTGGCCACCCCTACAAGTGCTTAATGGGGCCGTTTTACAAAAATTCAAATTATACCTATTGTTTAGAACATTATTCTGACCATCTTTTGATCAATATTGCTTATCAAAATATTCCCCGTTTTTGAGAAATAAACTGTCAAAGATTTGACTTTTTGGCCCCTTGTGACCCCTAATTACGTAAGATATGATCCAAATTTTATCATATATTGTTGCAAATGGTTAAGATGAAAATCTTTGCTTCAGTAATATATAACAAAATATTGATCATTAGAGAGTTATAAATAAGAAAATGTTGGCCCCTCTGAGCCCCTAATTTGAGGGGTCAGCCCCTTTTTCTTGATATCAAACGAAAGGTCTGGAGATTTTGAAGATTTTTTGTTCAACACTTACTCAGAGATTTCTTTTCGTTGTGGAGATATTCTAAATGGAAAAATTTAGGGGCAATCGCTCAAAGTGCTTAAAAGGGTCGTTTTACATAAAATTAAAGTATGCATATTGTTAAGAACTTTATTCTGACCATCTTTTCTTCAATATTGCTTATCAAAATATTCCCCCTTTTTGAGATATAAAGTGTCAAAGATTTGACATTCTGGCCACTTGTGACCCCTAATTACGTAACATATGATCCGAATTTTATCATATATTGTTGCAAATGGTTAAGATGAATATCTTTGCTTCAGTAATGTATAACAAAATATTTATTATTATAGGATTATAGATGAAAGAATTTTGGCCCCTCTGAGCCCCTAATTTGACGAGTCAGCCCCTTTTTCTTGATATCAAATGAAAGGTCCTGTGATTTTGAAGATTTTTTGTTCAACACTTATTCAGAGATTTTTTTCATTATGGAGATATGATGTATGGAATTATTTAGGGGCCATCCCTCCAAGTCCTTAATGGGGCCGTTTTACAAAAATTCAAAGTATGCATATTGTTTAGAACATTATTCTGATCATCTTTTGTTCAATATTGCTTATCAAAATATTTCCACTTTTTGAGATATAAAGCGTCAAAGATTTAGCATTCTGGCCCCTTCTGACCCCTAAATACGTAACGTATGATCTAAACTTTATAATATATTGTTGCAAATCGTTAAGATGAGTATTTTTGCTTCTGTGATGTATATCAAAAAATTGATCATGAAAGAGTTATGGATGAAAGACTTTCGGCCCCTATGGGCCCTTAATTGGAAGACTCAGCCCTTTTTATACGCCCGTCTTAAGACGGGACGTATTATGTTATAGGCTTCATGTCCGTCTGTCTGTCCGTCTGTCTAGCTGTCCGTCCGTCCGTCTGTTAGCTTTTCTCGTGTCTGGCTCATAACTTTAATACTATAAGGCCTAGAGTTATCAAACTTTGTCAGCTGATACATCTTGGGTAGAAGGTGTGTCGCGCACAAAAAGTAGGTCGCTCTGACCTATAATTAAAAAGTTATAGCCAAATATGGAAAAATCCTGTCTGGTCCATAACTAGAAAACTATTAGACTTAGGATCATCAAACTTGGCCAGTTTATGCATCTTAGGTAGAAGGTGTGTCGCGACCTATTTCAAGGTCACTGTGACCTTTAATTTAAACGGAATTTTAAAAAAAAAATGTCTTTTTTTCTATTCATTTACACATTCAAAAAAATGTAAAACTATTGCACTAACCTTATTAGAAAAATGTTAAATCAAGAAAATACTTATTGTTTTTAGCATATACTTGACAGCAATCTATAACAAATATAATGTATGTTAGAGAAATTCCACCACTCCCATGAGTCTAATTATCAAGCACTGGTCAAGAAAAATTTTGATAACAGAAAATTGCATGTCAAATTAGAGAGAGAAATTAATGAGTTTAGTGTGAGGAGTAGCTGTTAAAAGCATCGGTGCTAACTATATCCCTTGAGTATTGGGCCAAATGGGTAAGCCTGTTGGATTAAAAATAACTTGTTGGATAGCCCAAGTTTTAAAATGAATTTTATGACAAGTAATTAAAACTAATTTGATATTGCATATTAAACTATTTTGATATTACATAATACAGTGTATTACGAACTTAAAAATTAATTTTATGGGGGTAGGGGTGGAATCTGCATGTCCATATGAATTGCATATTAACAATTAACTGTCTGACATTAAATCTAAAAAAAAACAATTGATGTTTTGTATGTTTTAAAAATGTTTTATGGTAGATAGTGCAGATCCAATAATCTTTTGGGAGTAATGAGTAGACAAGCATCCAGTTAAAGATTAATTAATGTGTTCAATGTAGGAAGGCTAGCTGCTTGTCTCTTTCATTTCTTCAGAGCATGGTCTTATGGGAATTAGACAGAGGAACTGTTGGTCAGTTTATTTGATGGCCAGCCTTTTATTTCCAAAATTAATTAGGTATTGATTAAGTTGTGTAATTTGATATTGTTTAATATGATAGGCATTTGGCAACGTATAGAAATCTATAAATGATGCAATATTTGTTATAATTAATGCATACACCACAGGAGATGGATAAACAAATTTTTTAAGGTGTGTAAAAATCATTGAAATCTTAAAATCAAGGTTGACATGATTTTCCTGCACTTTTAACTGTTTAAGATACATTATAATTGTAATTTTTTGACGGGCGTATCATGCTGTGGCGTGGCACTTTATTCTTGATATCCTATTATAGAACTTATCATTCTGCACATCTTTTCTTCTATATGTTTTAACAAATTATTGACAGATAAGAAGATATGAAACAAATTGTGCGAAATTTTGTGAGATGTTTCTGAGACATTTTTTCGGTCCCTACCGAGCTCCGGCGCCTTTTGCGCTAGAAAGATTTGGATACCTGCCTGCAACTCAGCAAACCTTCCTTAACTCCCACTGAAAATTTTGAATCAATATCTTAAGTCGTTTTGGAGGAGTTTCCAGGACAAGCCGACCCTCTGAAAATCAGAAAATCGTCCATATCTCACGACCGGAAGTGACGTCATCAAAAAACAAAAAAACCTATCAAGATCAATTGAATATCTTTTAGATCTAAAAGTTTGACATGAATCGGACCAGCCATCTCTGAGAAATCGCGTGCACAAAATCGGTTGGAATAATAATAATAGGGAAAAAGAAACCGAACGAAAACAATAAGGTCTTCCGTTGGAAACGGAAGACCTTAATAAATGATAAGTATGCTCAATTTTAACCTTGATCAATTCTCTTTCTCATCATAAACATAAATTCGCACTATATGTGATTATTTTGAAAGTATTTTATGAAATCTTTTTACGTGGCTAGTAATATTTTTGAAGACTGCTCTGAATTGAATAACTTGTGAAAATGAATACAGGAAGAATAAAAACAGAATATTTTGTGGCATGCGCTTTCTTAACTGCGTATCTTGGCGATGATCTAACCACCACCATAACTTGTTTAACACCAAAATCTACCTACAGAAGTGGAAAGAAACTTAAAAAAACTTCCCTCTACCCATCAAACTTCTGAGTAATTTAGACCCGAATGCGTGTTTCAAAGAATGCCAAGCTCAATGGATGCCTTTCAGCAAACTTTGACAACCAAAAATTCACTTGCCAACTGCTCAGGCAAAAGAAAAGTTATGTCAAACCGCCAACAGATGATTTGGATTTTGTTCACATGAAATAACCAGACATTGTAAGTTTGATGAGGCTTATTAGGAATGCTTCTGCTTTAACAAAGCATGAATAACTTGGAAATGGTGTGATAAAAGCCAGATTTATATTTTATTTACATGTATAACAAGACCATTAATTGAAAATGCATTCAGAAGTTCCAAGTTCTAAATACAATCCTTTATCCTATTAATGCAAATATTCTAGACTGAACATGAGAAAACTGTTTTGAATTTGATTTGGATAAATAAATGGAATATAAAAAAAACTATGTATAGAATAAAAATAAAAATTATAATGTATAATTACGAATTATACTATGCAAATGAAATATATTAATCTTTATTAAAAAAGATCGACTTAAAGAATTTTCCTAAAAGAATCAAAAATAGATATCAACATGCTTATGAAATTTTATGTCTTTGCCAATAGTCAGACGGAAGAGAAAAGAAATGCGGCGAGGTTTAATGCAATAACTACTCAACTTGTAAACTAACAACCTTAAAAAAAAGTATGCATTGAAACACATGAACAGGTATGTTATAACATTTCAATTTATAATTGTTTTGAATTGTTCATGGGACTTGATTTACAAACTCAGATAACTGCATATTTCTGATACCAATGTATTGACGATAATTCATTTTTATATCTTTAGCAATAAATTTAATAACTACAGGTAGTGTTTCATTTAAACCCATTTAATTATTTTTCCTGAAAAGAGAAGATTTACATGAAATGTACATAAGTACAAAGTACATAGCTGTAAAATATCTTTGATATGATGTTAATTTTAATTGCAATTGAGGCGTAAAAATCTAGAATTCTTAGTGATGCAAATTTACTTCGAAAACACATTGTATGTGTCTTTTGTTTACTTAATTATTGGTTATATATTCTTAGACATTTTCAGTTGATTTCCAATATTTTTAAAATTAAAAACACAATGCAAATCGCAGTCAATATAATTCTAGATTACGCTGAGCCCCTTCCAGCTTTGTCAAACGGAGATGTAACGTGGGCGAATGATCCTATATCCGCAACGTTTGGCTGCAACATTGGATTTACTGGTGTTGGTTCTTGAAATACGAATTACTGATCACCGGGGGGAAGATGGACGTTGTTTTCTTACAGATGTGAATTACAAGTGTACCAGGTGAGGAATTTCAAACTGTCTGACTATTAATAACAAATGTTTAAACTGACTAAAACTGAATTTAGCTTGAGTAAATCATTGGGTGCCAGGCAGCCCAACTAGAGTCAAGGAAACTAGGTCCTCATCTTTGTCATGTCCATTGTATTTTGTTGTTACATTTAGCTGATTTCTCCGGTACTGGTTTGAACATATTTTATTGTAATAATTATAATTACAAAGGGATTGGGCACAAGTTCTGAAAACTTATAACGCCCTCTCCCTACATGCACATTACACATTTACATTGTCACAGTTAAATATGCTATATAAATTATTCAGTATTTGCAAAAGTAAACAAATTGATGCATTTTGCAGATATGTATAAATACAAATAAAGTTGAGAAAAAAATCATATATTCGTTACAGTATTTAACAAGGAAATCTACCAGAATCCTTGATAAATGTTTGAACAAAAGAAAAGAAACGTTCATTCTCTGCAGCATTCAGTGAATCAACCCCACATAATAAGACATGTGTATCTAAAATGTGGATTTTATCTAATTGTAAAAAAGTTTGTAAAAAATTCATTTCTGGCTTTCGCATACTTTGGACTGTAACCGAGACAAACAAAAAAGGGAGGAAAAGGCTTTTATTTATTTGACAGAGTCATGGATACTTTTGTATGTTCATTGTATCAATACACTTCCTTCGATTTTAAAAAAAGAAACCCTGTTAAATTGATTTTCTACATAATGATTATCAAATTTATATGCATCATACTTGCTATTTTCTTACATGTATTTCGTTGAATAATATTGTAATGTTTCCTTAAAAAGACTGAATGTAATATGGAGATAAATGATTGATTAATTGTATGTTGTTTAACGTCCCTCTCGAGAATTTTTCATTCATATGGAGACCCCACCACTTGCCTGTGGAGAGCTGGTAATGTTGTCCTGTATTCGGCACTCAGGGCCATTCAGCAGGGAGGGATCTTTTTCGTGCCAGCACCTACTGCGACACGGGACCTCGGTTTATACGGTCTCATCCGAAGGACCGGTCTCCACGTCCCAAAGTGGGATTCGAACCCGCGACGTAAGGATCAACTCCTTACTTCGCGACTTTAGAGCAGACGCTATAACCACTGCATCACGCGGGCGACTATTGAGACAAAAAACAGTAATCAAGCGTTAAGTCCATTTAAACAACACACATCGGGAACAGAGCAAACATGGACCTTCAAAACATCAGAGTTGGGATCAGGTGCTATGAAGGAGTACTGACCACTCACACCCGCCGTCTGTTCCTTGTCATGAATGGGGAAAATGCAGATATCCGTTGACAATTCAATGTGTGATTAATGGCCTAGAGATGTGTTTGAAAACCGTCAGTCTATATTTGACTTATTGATATGTTTCATTTGCTGACAAGATCAATGAATGGACCATTAATTTGCAAAAATGATGACTTTAAACGAGACTGTTGATATCCCTGTTTCATCAACTTGTTGTTTACATAGCTTACGTCATTTACAATAAAGTAATTGTTCATACGTAGAGCATGTTCTGGCGTCACAGGGACTAAAACATCTGTTTCATATTTGAATATTTTATTTGAAAAAGACGTTAATGGTAAGCTGTATAATGTCAAGCTGTATAATGAACGTAAACCTTCATCGGCTGCTTACGGAGTTTATATCACTCAGTTGATTCAGTTTATTCGATACGCAAGAGCATGTTTTACGTATGTACAGTTTCTAAAAGAAGGTAAATTGTTTTTTTTTAGTAGTAATAATTTCAAGTTGGTACAATTATGTTGACAAACGAGTTGATGTAACAAGAATATCAACAGTCTCGTTTAAAGTTCTATATGGTCGAGACAATGACCTTGTCAACAAATACGATTTATCATTGATTCAAATGCTTACTGACGTTTTTTCATACTTATGATTAGTCCATTATTTATACACTGAGTTGACGATGGATTTCCGTTATTTCCCTATATCATTACAAGGAGTGCACAGCGGGTATGACCGGTCGGCAGGGGATGCTCACTCCTCCATGGCACCTGATCCCGGCTCTGATGTTTCTGAGGTCCGTGTTTACTCTGCTCCTATTTTGTATTAAAATGTTCAATGGTCTTTTGAATTTGAATACCGTTCGTTGTCTCCATATATTTCATTATAAGACTGAGCAATTTTACTGACCGCTTTGTATATTCCTGTCAAGAACTGTGCAGATTCTTTTGTACAGATTTCAAATGAGCAAATTCAGAGAGTTACAAAAATTTAAAGGGAGCTTTCAGTGTCCTAGTGGAAAATTCAACGGGGCTGTGCTATCGCAATTTTTCCCCATATAAATCTTGTTGCTGCAATAAAACAGTGTTTGATCATCTTGTTGAAAAATATATTATTTTTTATAAATAGACATTAAAAACGTACTCTCCTACAGAAGTTCATATTGAAAGACCTAAAGCTTTAGCTCGATCAGAGTACCAAGTAAGAGGGAGCATTTCTCCAAGATCCGGAATCAAGCATTATTTCAGTTACACTTTTCACTCCTATGCAGCACTCTCAAGAACCGGTTGTAAATTATGGCATCAATTGGAAGATTGGACGGAAAAGTCGCTCTTATTACAGGTATGTTACCTCTTTATTCAAGCGTGACAATTCTTTAAGGATATATAGAAAGGACGAATTAAATATTCATTTGACCTTTAGCAATATTTAATGCAGATTGTTGATGTATTTTGAATAAGAATGATTGTCACATTGAACAAGTTTGACAAACCACACGAAATGGTAATTTATTCCCCGTTTCACATTGGTAGACAATCTTACATATCGGTGTCGAATTCTACTGACCAAATGGTGGATTTTTTCTCGTATTTTTATTCAAATAAAGCAATTGAAATCGCCTTTGCAAAGGCATTAGGGATTTTAGTGAACATATTCCTCGCACAATTAACCAAACAGGAGATGAATGGCAATTTGGTAGGTTGTGCCCAACTTTCTAATATAATTGTAACTAAAATTTTGAAAATGAACTTTAAGACAACATCACAGAAACTAAATAATGAAAGACACGCACAGAAAACTGGATTATTTCCTTCTGCTTGGTTGACGGGCTTCTTTCGTTTTGGTTCGCTGTAGTAATTAAGGCTTTCAAATTCTAGATAAACATGCAACAATAACTTGAAAGTATGATACATGCATTCAGTTTTTACTCAATCAAAACGATCACTGCTCAAATAAAATTACACTTATTAATAAATCAGACTGTAGCATCTTTTCCAATTACGGATCACATAATCTCGTGTCGTGACATGTCATCAAAACTCAATGTACAAAACCAGATGACAACCGTGTGTTTACCCTGATTATTAAAAGTATTTGGCATCGAAAACAGTTTTTAAGAAATGAAATTGTATTTAAAAAAAAGGATTTTTAATGGTGTATACTGCAGTTTGTTTTGTTGTTATCGTTTTAAAAAATGATTTAAACTTATTTATGCGTTTACGTTTTTTTTAAGCTCCATGGATTCTTTTATGTTTTGACATCAGAAAAAAATCGTATTCCGAAACTGGGGAAGTTAGGCCTTGCTGAAATAAGCCTGTAAATATTGTTCCTGTTAAGCTACATGTACTTTGAAAATAGCTATTTGAAAACAATGACTTTTCGATGACTCACTATTTGTACTTACGTCGTAAGTTATTCCTTAAATAAGTGAGACATAATTTTATTTTTCCACTATATATTTCATTTACAAATGCATTTCTAAAATATAATTGCAGTGTTATTCGTTGCGCATTTTTTAAATTACTAAACACCATAAAATGCAGAATTCTTGGCAGTTTCTTCACATTATTTACAATTAATACACTGTCAAGTTTTGGACAGGGCGCAGATTTAACTTGTTACTTTTTTTTCTGCCATTTACTTTGAACTTCCACATTAAGTATTACTATGACATTTATCGTACTAGTACATTTATTTGATTTCTAGGGGCCAGCTCTGGTATTGGTGCCGGGACAGCCATCTTGTTTTGTAAATTAGGAGCAGAAGTGGCCATTACTGGTAGAAATGTCGAAAATTTAAATAAAACAGCGGCTGAATGTGAGAAAGGAAATGGAAAGAAGGTTTGTAAAGAGTTAAAATTCATAAAAAAATTTCTCAACATGCGCCGGTCTAAAAAAATTACAGACGTTAGTATTTTTCACTTTCATGAAAGGGACAGACTGATATCCCACATGTGTGTTACACTCTCTGTAACTATTATTTTTTAAAAGTTTATCTGCCTTTCTTTTTAGCCCTTTACTCTTGTTGGTGATATGACTAATGAAGATTTTGTAAAACGGCTTGTAGAAGAAACAGTAAAACATTACGGGAAATTAGACATTCTGGTGGGTGAAATTTTAAACTAATATTGATACAAATTTGTTTTTTAAAAAAGTATGTATTATATACTAAATATTCAATACACAGTTAATACCTTTTTATTCAATATTAACATAAGATTTGTCAATACATCAAATATATTTTTTTAATAAAAGCTTTTGAAGAAAAAGTCTCATTAACGAATTAATCATTTATCCTTTGTAGGTTAATAATGCAGGAATAGTAAAAAGTGGAACCATTGAAACAACATCGCTGGAGCAGTATGATGAAGTCATGAATATCAACGTCAGGTTGTGTTTATTTCAAGGTCTCAAGACCAAAAAATTGACTTGGCCTTTAATACAAAAAGCTTAATTTGTATTTTAAATTATGTATTTTAAAAAGTTAATCTGTATTAATTAAAATGCATTTTAAATAATCTTCTTTTGTTTTTAGGTCTATTTATCATCTGACCATGCTTGCAGTACCTCATCTCATAAAAACAAAAGGAAACATAGTAAATGTATCTAGTGTAAATGGAGTTAGATCTGTGAGTGTGCATTTGTATGGAACTGATGTTTACAAAGATGTGTACGTAAAAAAAATCTTAAGTAGATTTTAATAACATGTGAAATATTTCAATTTTTCGGAGATTGTTTGATCCAGATAAAAAGTAACTGTTTTTTTAATTGTCAGAACGTTTTTTTTTTAATTCGTTGTCGGTCTTTTAAATATACATGTGCATGTATTATAAATAAGCCCCTCTTATTTTATAAAAACTACATATTTGTTGAAAAGAAGGGACTAGTATTTGAAGAATTGAAGTTAAATGTTTTGATTTGAGTTGATTAATTGAATGTTGTTTTATGTCCCAATTCAGCATTTTTCACGCATATAATATAGAAAATCATTATATCACTGGAAAGGGTTTCAAATTTAGACCTGTGTCTGAAACTTTGAAGCATAGAGCAGTGAGGGTTCTTTATCGACCAACGCTAGCAGAGACACAGGGCTTAGGTTTTTAAGATGTCATCTTTAGACTTCTGAAGTTTAATTTCAAAGTGCTGAGCGCTCTAAGAAGGAACAGTACATGTACCTCCTGTTTTAGATTTTTTTTTATCAATTTAAGTCCGTCGTAACCAAGATTTTATCACTTGACCATCTGATTTCGGAGCATGGCCACTGAGCTACATCTATGATGACGGGTTCAATATTGTAAATTTAGGACATATTTTTGTTCTTATTGCATTTATGTTTTCTACTTAATATTTTTTAGTTTCCAGGAGTTCTTGCATACTGCATGTCAAAAAGTGCTGTGGACCAATTCACCAGATGTACAGCCATAGGTCAGTATTCCTAATTAAAACATTCATCTAATAGAATGTCTGCAGTTGATTTTAATTTGTAAAGAAGTATGACTTACATATTCACACAAACATACAATTCATGCCTATCTTATGTAAATTCATTAATATGTAGTATTCTAGAAGGTTTATCAAGAGGATTATCTGTTGATGTTTCTGACTTTTCGAAAGAGTGTTTTAATTGTCAATGCAGTGTGATATCCTATTTCTTTACCTTATACATGATTCATGTATACATGTATCGCATACATTTATAATGACCAAATTTTTGACTTAGAAGGAAAGTAGGGTATATAGAATTTTTCTCCTTGATTTGGATTTTTCATCACTGACTAACAGAAAAAATAAAGGTAAACGATTAATTGAATAACTTAAAAACTGTTTTGTAAGTAACTAAACAGAAACAAAAAAAAAATAAAAGAAGAAATAAAAGGATTAGTTTTATAAATTTACAAACTTCTCATACCTGAATTGTATATTTCATGGGAGTAGTTTGATGGGTTAGGAGGAGACGCTTATAATTGAAAATTGAAAAAAAGGTGGGAGGAAAATAAGGAAAAGAAATTAAGTATGTACTGTATAAATCAGGTTGCACCATGTTGATATATCTAATTGATAATTCATTAATCCGAGATGCATCTGACTTTATCACCTGCTTTTTATATTGTGACATGTGTAGGGGAGAGTATATGCATTTCCTAAAAAGAGGGAATGGCACCAAAGGTTAATCTTTTTTAAAACTTTATTTGATAATTGAAAATTGAGAAAAGTAACGGGATGATAGGGTGTCGCTGAATTTCCACTTTTCAATATGACATCCGCTCTGACTCTCACCTGCACCTGTCCAAATGTAAAAAGAAGGGGTTAGAGTCAGAGGAATCTCGGATTAATAATTTATTAAATTTCAGAGTTGGCTCCAAAACAAGTTAGGGTGAACAGTGTCAAGTAAGTATATTTACCTATCTCTGTGACACAGGTGTATGAGATGTTGGATTACTGTTTCAGATATATTTGAATTGTTATTTGTATGAAATATTAGATTTTTATTATCTTTATGAAAAAAAAATCAGATAAAGTTCATAATGAATGTATATGGAATATTAAATTGGGTTCTTTTTTTTTTTTTGAGATATCCTGGTCATTTTATGTTGAAAATATCTTTATGAAAAAAAAACAAATAAAGTTTATAATGAATGCCTGATGTTGTTTTTGTTAAAAACATGAACAGCACTCTGAAGTCGACATCAAAAAGATTTGGATGATTATTAAGTCTTACTCAAAAAAAATTTTTTTTTGCACTTTGTATTCATATGAGAATTTGTGAAAAAAAATAGAAAGCGTTTTTTTAATGTATTAAACAGTTATGTGGATTTAATAAAATTACACACTTGTAACAATTACGGTAAAACACGCTGAAAGCAAACCACGTATTATAATGAATTGACGCTTACAGCGAAGTGATTTTCATTCACTGTGACTTTGTAACATGTAAACTTGAAGGATGTAACAAAATACGTCAAATGCTAATTGAATTGTTAAAGTAGCATGGCACCTCATCCCACCTCTGCTGTGTTGGGGGTTCGTGTTTGCAATGCTCCTCCTTTGTATTGTTTTATGGACTCTTGATCTTGAATACTGTTCGTTATCTTCATATGTTTCATTCACCACAATAGAAAGAGTTCTTTTTTTTAGCATAAACAATTATGCGGTTCCATATATGGCACTTCATCATTAGTGTGTTATATATGTAACTTCGTGAAAATGTTAAATTGTTTTGGTAATTCATGGTGGTTGTTTGCTTTTGTTGAACTCAGAGCTTTTTTCTTGTAGCCCAGGAGTGATTGTCACAGAAATCCACAGAAGAGGGGGGATGGATGATGAGGCCTATCAGAAGGTAAGATTAATTTATCACACTTTCCATTCCATTGTTTACTGTAAAGAGAGATTATGGAAAATGTTTGCAGTTTAGAAATATTTTTACTGAATAGTCTTTTCTTGTTCAACAATATACAGTATACTCAAGTACCTATTTAGGAAAAGATTGTTTTAAAACAAACAAACAAACAACAAATAATAACAAACACTGTCTTTCATTTTTTACACTGTATAATATTTAAATTCATACAAATGAAAAAAAAAACAGTTTGGATGCTGCATTATAAATCCGTATCGAAATTCATTTATGAAATCAAAATTTTAAATCAAAGGTTACTTTTTCACATTGACTTAATTAGAATGATTTTATTTACAGTTTCATGAACGGAGTAAAATTACACATGCCCTAGGAAGGTCTGGCCAAGTAGAAGAGGTGGCCAATACAATAGCTTTTCTAGCCTCAGACAGCGCTTCCTTTATAACTGGAGTACAGATGTTAGTGGACGGGGGAAAGCATGTACTTTGTCCACGATAACTTCAAGAATATAAGAAGTTTTAAAAGAAAATATCCAGTGCGTATTCATTGTGAAGAATTTTTTAAAATTCTCTTTTGAGATATCTTTTTGTTAATGAAAGAAACAAGTAATAGCAAATTTTGTGAAGGAACATACTCATGATTTAGACAGAACATATTTCCATATCCAGACTTTGTGATATTAGTCAGAGAAAATTATTTATATTATCACTGTGAAGAAATTGTAATTTTATAAGGGAAGTAAGAAAAATGTAATAAACTGTAATAATTGCATTTTGAATTATTACAGTTTGCGTTTACATCAATGCAGAATGTAATAACGCAAACTGTACTAATAAACTTTTTTCTAGCCAATGTGCTCAGGTGAATGATGTGGCCCATGAGCCTCTTGTTTTTACAGAGAAATATCTTGTTTTCCTTTAATATAAATGGTATAAATGTATTATTTAAAACATAACATTTAGAAAAGACGTAAAGAATCCCTTTGACATGTTGTCAATAAAATATGTTCAAAACAAAACAAAGTATGCTTTTAAGTTATGCTTTATAAATTTTATAAATTGATAATTCTGAATTATAAGAACTAAAGGTAGTTCTCATTTAATAAAATTTGCGATTATAATGCTGAAGTCTTTTTTTGTGTTCATCTTGGCTACTATCTCCTTAAAATATTTTTGAAACATTTTTCGCAAAAGATATACATGTACGTTTAGCAATGACCCAAAATTACGGTGCAGGGAGTTAACTTTGTTACATAAACCAGCTTCGGAATCAGCAACTTTGTTACATAAATCAGTTCGGAATCAGCTTTGGAATCAGCAAAATAAACATCAGCATCCAGCTAGCAACAGGGTCGGCATTGTAAGGATCAGCATCAACAAGCAAAGAATAAACCAAGCATTGACTTTCTTAAAAGCATTGCTTAACTAGCAAATAAACATTAATGAGGTTTTGATTTAGTAAACAAAATGAAAACTATGTAAAAACGCAAACTTATCAAAAAAGTTTACTAAAAAAAACAACATTACATGTACTAATTAAAACAAGATTAAATCAGCGAAATATTTCCCCTGATCTAAGATTTTGCTCCGAAAGGATTCCTCATGTTCAAGTTGTGAATTTATACAGCTGAAGTTTGAAACTACAGAAAAAGAGAATTTAATATGTTGCAATTTATTATCTTATGGAACCTTGAACGATAAAACGAATAAAAAACAAAATAAAGAACTTATTGATTTATTTTACCATTTAAATGATTAAAAATTGTTAAGTAGAAGAAATTCAAATTTCAGTACTTAGAGTACATGTACGTGTATATGTATTTTAACACCAAATAAATTGAAATCTATTAACATGATTAAGTAAATATCGTTGAAGTGATCGTTTCATTTCCACGATTATTCGCAAGTATACTCACCTTCTCCAATAATTAAAAACTAGAGAACAATTAATTGCAAGAAGTGTGATGGTATCATTCGGACGCTTCACAGATACAATAAGAAGAAATTTAAACGCTGCTGTAACTTGGCTAAATGCCATCTTAGACTAAGATATAGCTACATCTTGCGATAGATGTTTATCTGGAGTAACATGAGTAAGATGGGTCTAAAACATGCTGCAAAAAATTTTTCAATTAATTGATAATCGAAGCGATAATTAAACTTCTTTGAACATATTTTGAGCCAAAATTCTCAAGAGCTTGATCGAATATTTCATTTTCATATGGAATACTCAAGTTAGGGATAACAATTAAATAATTGATATTAAGTAGAATCAATTTTACCTTAATCAGTTCTCTTTTTCTCAATGTAAAAACTTACATGATCTATGATTATCTTCAAAGTTTTTAATGAAATCTATATATAAGTTGCTTGTAACATTTTTTAAGACAGCTCTGAACAAATACGCAACCGAATTTAAATAACGTGCGAAAATGAAAACTGGGATAAAAACAGAATATTTTGTGACATGCGCTTTCTTAACTGCATATCTTGGCGATGATCTAAATTCTACCTCAACTTGTTTAACACCCAAACCTACCTACAGAAGTGGAAAGAAACTCTCCGTCTACCCCATCAAAGTTCTGAGTAGTTTAGGTCCAAATGCGTGTTTCAAAGAATGCCGAGCTCACGGTGGCTGCCTTTCAGCAAACTTTGACAATCAACATTTCATCTGTCAACTGCTGAGTCAAAAGGAAACTTATGTGAAACCACTCACAGTAGATGGAGATTTTGTTCACATGGAATTACCCAAAGTTGTAAGTTTGATAATACTCATTCAGAATGCTTCTGCTATAACCAAGTTTGAATATGATTAAAGCAAGATTTATATTCTGTTTACATGTATAACAGATCATTGGGTAGAACATGCCTTCAGAAGATCTTTTAAAATGGTTAACAATTCTTTATTCCTTATAATTGGTCAATTTTTGAATTATCAAGGCAAATATTCTAGATTGAACATGAGAAAACGTTTTTGAATTTGATTTGGATTAAATAAACACAAAGAACGAGATAAATAGTTTTATAATGCCATTTTTGAACTTTCAAGGATCTTTTTATGTATTTCATTAACAAATAAAATCAATTTAAAGTTAGGGTTAAAGGTTTAAAAATAGATATCAGCATGCTTATAAAAATGTATGTCTTTGCCAATAGTCCAATGGAAGGGATAAGAAATGCGGAGGGGTTTCATGCAACAACTACTCAACTTGTAAACTTACAACTTTCAGTAAAAGAAAGTGCATTGAAACAGGTATGTTATAACATTCTATTTTATAATTGCTTGAAATTTTATATGGGACATGATACTCAGATTACTGCAGGTCCGTGGATCATGAAACCGACTTAGACTTAAGATATGATATAAATTTTGATTGCAATTGAAGTGTTAAAATGTAAGATTAAAAATAAAAATAAAATTAGTTAATTATATTGCAGTTGTAATCAAAAATTCACTCCACAAAGTTAAAAACAGTATTTCTGTGTGTAATCTTATATGAAAATTTAGTTAAATTTTTATTGGAATATCAGCAATGCATTTTCTAATTGCAAATTGATCAACAAATATAATTTAGGCTAAAAAATGATAGGTATCCAGGCATTTAGAGAAATTGTCTTGATTTGTATACTTATTTGGTATTTTTTGTCTTCTTTTTGAAAAAAATCGTGTAAAAAAAAAACACATAAATCACTTCTCATTTCATATCATGCTTAAAAGCATTGGTAACTAAGGCTGGATTCAAGAAAATCTTATTTCTCTAAAACAGTATTAATTTTTTCTCCTTTTATAGGGTAGAAATGTCAACTTTTATAAGACCTTTTTTAAAACTTCCAAAAACCTTGAATCTTGTAAAGATGAATAAAATGATAATTGTTGCATGAAAAAATTTCATTTTCAAGCTTCATTTTGATGCATTTCAAATTAAATATTAATATTTGGAGTTATCCTTCCTGGCTGAGGATCGGATATCCTTAAATTAAAAACACATTGTGTGTCTTTTGTTTAGTTAAATTAGTGGTAATTTTTAGATATTTTCAGGTGATTTCTAATATTATTGAAAAAAACAATAAAAAACCCATTCAATAATTCTAGATTGCGCGGAACCCCTTCCAGCTTTGGCAAACGGACATGTTGTAAAACGGACGAATAATCCGATAACTGCAAAGTTTGGCTGCAACATTGGATTCACCAGTGTTGGTTCTGGAAGAACCATTCACTGCTTTCCAGGGGGGAGATGGACATCGTTATTCTATCGATGTGAATTACCAGGTGAGGAATTTCAGACTGTCTGTTAACTTTGTAAAGCTAAGTTAGATCATCGGGTGCCAGGCAGCCCAGCTAGAGTATTTAAAACTAGGTCTAGATCTTTGTTTTGTCCATTGTATTTATTTGTTACATTTACATAAAAAAGGGAAAATAGCATGTCTTTATATGTACCTTTTCCCGATTTTATTGGAAAAAAGTTTGTTATGGATATAATTGTATATTGTTTTGTAGTTATGCATATCCTTTGATTTGGAAAAAAAAACTGTTAAAATGATTTACAATTACTACACGTACATAAAGATAGAAAAAATGTATTAATTTTAATAACGCTTTTTTTTATTAAATGGACCTCGAAAAGTAATATTTCAACGGTTTCTCAAATAGACTAATTTAAAATGGAGATTATAAACTGTATTCAAACGCAAAGTCCATTTATAAATAAAACAAATCGGAAACAGAGCGAACACGGACCTCTTAAAACATCAGAGGTGGGATCAGGTGCTTTGAAGGAGTGAGCATCGTCAGCCGACCAGTCATACCAGAGGCCTGTTAAACAGAGCAATTGTTCGTGAACATTTCTTATGGAGGTATATGGAATTTTGGCGAGCGCTCATGATCACGAACGTTTGCCTTGTTGAACAGGCCTCGGTGGTGTGCTCCTTGCCATGATCGGGATATCTATTGAGAATTTGGTGTGAATAATGACCTAGCAATGTGAATGAAAATCGTCTGTAAGCATTTGATTTATTGATAGGTTAAAGAACTATATGCGGTACATTGCATATATTTGCCCCCACAAAAGTCAAATTTTGCAAACTTCCTGAAATGTGCTGAATTCAATAAATTGTATGAGCAATATAAATTAACAAAAAATATTATAGTGTCAAAGCAGTGTATTCACAATTGTTGTTTTTATGACGTCACAAAATAGTCCGATTTTATATCCTTTTTCAGAAAGAGGACAAAATGGACAAAATTTCAACAATTTTAGCTTTAAAATTTATAGAGCGCAAATTTGTTCAGGAACAGTATTGACATATTTCATTGATATTATCATTCTACACATTATATCAAAATATGGATCCTAAACACACATGCGCTCGGTGACTTTTACTCACAATATCGACAGAATATGTACATTTTTCTGTAAAATTCATAAAAAACTGAAATTTACGTCATGTTTGTAACGTCATTACGTACATATGGCGTCATTACTTATGAAAATATTTATTGCTTTGAAGTCAGCATATACTCCCCTGTTTAAGAACTTAATTAAATATACCCCCGGTATCTCCATCAAAGTTTGATTTTGGGGGCAAATATTGATTATTACCTAATAAAGTTCTTTGTTGATTAGATCATTGTATCGACCATAAAAACTTACTATAGGAGGAATTTAGACGAGACTGTCGATATCCTTGTTTCATCAACTTGTTTTTCAATAGCTTACCTCATTAGAAATTGTTTATACGTAGAGCATGTTCTGGCGTACCAAATGATCTGGGGGACAAAAATCGCTTAGAAATTACCAAACAAAAAACCCAACAAAATTTAAGCTTCATATCCATGTGCTTCTTCTGTTTCCCTTAAGCATAAGTAAGAAACATTGGATCCTAAGGGTCTTGGTATAGTTATACCCCCGCAAACGAAGTTTAGGGGGGTATATTGTAATCACCATGTCCGTCTGTCCGTCTGTCCGTCTGTCCGTCTGTCTGTAGACAAGATTTTGTCCGGACCGTTTCTCAGAAACTGTTGGATGGATTTGTCTGAAAATTCATACACTTATTATTCACCATATGAAGGTGTGCACCTGGTATTTTAATCATGATTGGATGATTTTTCTGCATTTTACAGACATTTTTTCTTTTTTCTTTTGTGATTTTGTTTGGCTCATAACTAGAAAACTATTAGACTTACAATCATCAAACTTGGACAATTTATGCATCTTTGGTAGAAGGTGTGTAAGGACCTATTTCAAGGTCACTGTGACCTTTAATTTAAGTGATTTAAAAAAAAAACTAAGTCTTTAAAATTTTAAATTTCATAATCCTAAAAAATGTAAAAATATAGTTGTATCCTTATTAAAGAATGTTAAATATATAAGTAAAAACTTATTTTTTCATCATATACTTTACAGCAAATTCTGTAATAAATGTTATTGTTTTGAGAGGAATTCAGTTTGTCCCATGGGCATAATTATCAAGCACTGGTCAAGGAGAATTTTGATAGCAGAAATTTGCATGTCAAATTAGAGAGAAATTAATGAGTTTATTGTCGGGAGTTAACTGGCAAGAGCGTCTCTAGATCATGTAGTGCTATCTTAATTTATCTCTCGGGAGTTGGGCAAAAAGAAATGGCCTTATAGTTGCTTGTGTTAATTAAGAGTTCTTGATGGCTGTAGTTTAAATAAAGATCATTCAATTGGTGTAATGTAATTAAAACAAATTGATGCTTTAGTGTATGATTAAAACTGAATTAGTATTGTATAACATAATTAAAATTCATTATAATTCAATGTGTTCATTGAAAAAAAAAAAACATTACAATTTTTATATATTTGCAACAAATTGCAGTCATGTCTCACTTAGAATTTTATAGTCTAAAGAATAATTAATTTTTGATTTTTATTAGACGGTAGCATTTCCACTATTTCATAAAATATGCAATAAACAATTTCAAGCTGCAGATAGATATTTGTTAAGCTCTAACACAGCCAGTTTAGAATTATATTATGTATTATTAGTTATAATTAATCCCTACACTGTAAGTCTCTTAGAGATGTATGTACAATATTTTAAACATGATAAGAAATGGAAATTAGATCATTGAAATCTGTGTCATGTTATTCAAGGTTACTTGTTGCACCCTAACCAATTTATGATTATTGAACAATATTTGACGGGCGTATCATGCTGTGGTGGGGCAGAAACATAGTGAACACCTCCTAATCCATAAAATCTTGTTATAATTCTGAAAAACCCCTTAAATGGACAGAATTTATTAAAATTTATAATTAATGCAATGTTGAATTAGTTTCTTATTAAGAATGCAGAATTTGTAATTGTAAGAATATATTTAAAAAAAAATCAATACTTTTGAAAATAATAATTCATATTTTAGTTCATGGGGGCTGGAGCAGTTGGGGCGAATGGAATACTTGCTCGAGAACTTGCGGAAGTGGAACAAAAACCCGATTACGTTATTGTAATAATCCAATGCCCATGTACGAAGGAAATTACTGTAGCGGTGGTTCAACAAATATAATATTATGCAACACGAACAGTTGTCCAAGTATGTACTTTGAAATTGCCTAACTCAAATCATACATATTAACTTGCATGGTCAGTTGATTTTTTCTGACTTCATTATTTTGGATTGCCCCGAAAAAAATATATCATCTGCTAAGCTTTAATTAAATATATATTTAATTTTTGTTTAATAGAAAATAAATTAGTAACGATTCATGTAGAAGTGTATCTGTAACATGTATAGGTAAACTGCATTTTCATTCCCTACATTATTCCACAAATAACTCAGTTAGATCTATTAAGTTAACAACATTGCATGAATTTTGATTGCCTCCAAACGTTCAAAACATAGGTCTACATTATCCTCAAGTATACTGTATAGTGCGTTCAAAATACAGTTCTACGCATTTTAGTTCACGGAAGCTGGAGTAGTTGGAGTGAATGGAATACATGCTCTAAGTCTTGTGGGAATGGAACAAAAGATCGATCACGTGACTGTAATAATCCAACTCCCATGTATGGCGGTGACTTCTGTAACGGAAGTTCTATGAACACAACATTATGCAACACCGACGAGTGTCCAAGTCCAAGTATGTCACTTTACAAAGAAACTAAATGAACATATTTCTTTTAATTTTATACCGACCCTGTGCACACATGCATACATATAACCAATGGATCAAGGGAAATGTTATAGAATTATGAAAAATAATTTAATAATTTTTTAGTTGATGGAGGCTGGGGCTCTTGGGGAAGCTGGTCTTTATGTACAAAAACCTGTGATGCTGGAACCAAATATCGAAGTAGAAGTTGTAACAATCCTTACCCCCAGTATGGAGGGGCAGGTTGTAGCGGCACACTACAAGTATATACGTACTGCAACACCAATGTATGCCCAGGTACTTCAATTATGATGATTATAACACAATAAGTTACAATGATGAACATATTGATAAGCAGAATTTCATCTACACACCAAGACTGCTTTCATTTGAAAGATATATTAAAATTTAAGAGAGAGAGAGAGAGAGAGAGAGAGAGAGAGAGAGAGAATAAACAATGAAATCAAACTAATAATTCGAACGATTAAATCAAAAACAGGGAGAGAATTCTAACTTTCGGAAAACAAACTAGATGATTAACTGTAATGGATATTAAATATTATTAATGTTTTTGTCTTATCTTTAAGGCTTTTAAAATACACATATTTTGTGATCATTGTGAAACAGTGGACGAAAAAGTCACCTAGATTTAATAATTTCAAATTGTCTATACTGTCAAATGTTTCTACATGTACATACATTATTTTGACAATATATGTACATGCATTTGTTGTATAATAATATAGATCACTTAAAAGTCACACAATTTTATGCCAAATCAATCTTATACATGTAGGTCTTGTAAGTTTTTTTTCATCGGAGAAATACTTTTCTTTCGCTTTCATACATGATTTATTATTTTAAACATCGAATTAAAAGTATCATTTTAAATAAAACTAAACATGTTAAGTTTTTAATTTATGAATCATTATTTCATGTGTTCTGTTTATTTCATAGGATGGTTGTTCAAAAGGAGGTAGTGATCCATGACCTTTTGATGAACTTTTTGTATTCCGTCCGGAATATGATGATGAAATTTTTGATATGGAATTTTACAGATCTTTAGATTGGCTGAATTGTAAAATAATAGCTTCATGCAATTATTACCGATGTCATTTTTTTCCACAAAATATAAATTTTGAAGAGTTTTTGAAACCAAATATGTGCTACTGTATTATAAAAACTTACATTGAAAAGGTTTCGTTTTGGAGTGTATATTTTTTAAAGTTACATGACACGGAATAATTCCTTGAGCTATAATTTGTACAGAGGAAAATAAATCTTGTGTTTTTTAAAAAAATTGTTCCTGAAATAAATATATACATGAAGACAGGTGATCTTTAATACTGTATACAGGGTTATTTTCGCCCCGTATTATTTTCGCCCTTTGGAACTTGTGAACAATTTTGCCCCGTTTAAAATTCGCCCAGTCATAGTTCTGTTTAAGAAATTAATATTTTAAGACTTTTAAAGAGAAATCAAGAGAGGAAACAATAGTAATGCAAGGCAAGGATTTTATTTCAGAAAATAAATCATTAAAATGTCATGGATATTCTGCATGTGACCATCACAATATGTCATTAAATAACACAAACAAAGGTGATAACAATATATGAAGACTTTCAAAAGAAATAGGAGGAAACAATAGTAGTGCAAGGCAAAGGATTTTATTTCAGAAAAAATGTCATCTCATCACAATATGAAATATTGCCTATTCTGATTTCACCGTGTTGCTATTTCATCAAAATGACAATGTTTATTTATTGCTTAGCAGTTAATCATTCTTTTAGAATGTATTGACTGAAATTAACAAGACACCTGATCAATCCATTCTTTCCAAACCCATATCATATATCACAAAATTTAATCAATACCTTTTTTTGTAGCACTACCTAATCTTTATTAATAATCATGATAAATTTACAAGATATTTAAAGTGTAATTAAAGTGTATACTTAATGAAACCCTCTGTTTGCTAGTATCATTTTAAGCTGCTCTGAAAGAAAAATAATTAAATATTATTTCACAATGTGTAAATGTAAAATGTACACAGCAACAAACACAGGATATTTTGTTATGTGCGCTTTTCTAACATTATCTTTTAGCTATTGTCTTAATACTACCACGGAATGTTTAACACCCAAGTATGAATATGTGAGTGGAAAGAAACTTTCAGACTTTCCATTCAAGCTTTTTTATAAGATAGGTCTGAATTCGTGTTACAAGGAATGCCAGGCTCATGGGGGTTGTCTTTCAGCTAACTTTGACCGAAAACATTTAACATGCCAATTGTTCAGTGTTAAGAAAAGTGACACCAAGCTGTTAATAGACGATATGGATTTTGTTCATGTGGAGTTACCAGACACTGTAAGTAAATGCCAATTAAAATCTTTCTATCAAATAATAAATTCATTTTGATTAAATAAAAATGAAAATATATTTTTTATTTGCAGGAGTGCCGACAGCAAATATACTGACAAACGTAGTTTCTTCTCGATTTCATATTTAATAGCATTCAACGAATAAAAATTAACATTGAGTATAACGAATATAGGAAACTTACATACCTTTTCATTTTTCGTCCAAAGAATTTTAGAAATACAAATTATATTGTGTTAAGAAATGCAAAATAAAAAGTGGTAGTAAACAGACTTTTCAACTTTAATTAATTTAAACTAATTTAAATTTTATTGAATTAATTTTGATTACATTTGTTGATAGTCGGATGGAAGAAAAATTTGCGGCGAAGTTTCATGCAACAACTATTCAACTCGTGTAGTTACAACTTTTAATAAAAGCATGTGCATTAAAACAGGTATTTTAACTTTTCTGTTATAGCAAATACATGATTAATGTTTGCATACAATATGTTTTAAGAAACTCAACTTTTATATGCGTAAATCATATGTGTATTATTAATTCAAAAGAATAAATTGATCAATGTTTTTATGATTGTACTCAAAACAGTAAAAGTTAATTTGAAACCTTGTACTTTGTATTTTGCGCACTCTGTACTTCTATTGAAATTTCAGTTAACGTATGAACTTGCTCTCAGGTCATGAGAATAGATGTTACTCATGTTAAGAATAATCAAAAACAAGATCTTAATCGTTAAAAGTGTTGTATTTGTCGAATTCGAACATTCTTTTTTTCAATTATTTGAAGTCGTCCCGAGAATGCACGTAGTCTAACAAAATTAAAATATTAAATTATAAATGTTTCTGATAGATTTTTATCAGGATTCATAAAAAAAAACACCCTTGAGAACGTAATACATTTAAAATGCATGTAAAATCGTTTTTCTAGACTGTGCAGAACCTATGCCAACGTTGACAAATGGCAAGGCAATTATTCGGACGAATAATCCAATATCGGCAACGTTCGGCTGCAACATTGGATTCACCGGTGTTGGTTCTAAAAACACCATTCATTGCTCTCCAGGGGGAAGATGGACATTATTATCTTACAGATGTGAGCCACCAAGTAAGAAATTTAAAACTATTTTTTCCTAATTAAATCTCAATTTATCTATAATCAGTATTTATAGAATGCCTTTCCAATGCTTCTATTTAAAAATGACAATCTGTCATAGATTACTGTATTTCGATACCGAACTTTTATTAAATCATAAACAATATCTATATGATACTCAATTATTCATTTATTTCTTGTTATGTTTTTCAAAATACACAGAGTGCGTCGTATTCATTATAATATTATCAAAATTAAGAGTATCATTAGTTTGCAAGCAATGATTTTGAAAGCCAACTGGTCGGGAATTGTGAATTGTGAAAAACGTAAACAATGATAATTGATGCTGAGTTTTGTCGAAGGTCCGTAAGATATTTGGAAGACCTCATTATTGATTTTCATGAATAAATGTTAAAATTCAATTGGGTTTAAATATCAAGAATAAACTAAGAGCTATTTTCACCATCCTATGGAAAACTTTAGTACATAAACTCCCGACACGCTCATTTCATATTTATCAAATAAAAGAGCATGATAAATTATCTTTTAGGAAAGTTTTGATGTTATTCTGATACTTCCTGAAGAAATTAAAGAATAAAGTGCCCGTGCTTATTAACTTTATCTAAATTTAATTTTTGTTTGAATTTTCACCTGATTAAATACAACTACAGTGAAGTACAGACTGCATAAAGCACAATCTGTCATTACCGACATAAACCTCACTCGAGTTTAACCTTTCTGAATTGTGACTCTAGTTACATGTAGAGCCCTGTCTTACTAATAAATGTATAAATCCAGGAAACTTACCAATGGTTTCTTTTAATTGCTAATATGTGTGCTAGATCACATATCATTCTGAACATAAGCATGCTGAATCTTACTATTCCCTCATTCCAACTTCAAATTTTATGCGTTTTATAAGTTAAACCTTAAAAAAAAATCAAAATACCCAGGTATACACGGTGTTTAAGAATAAGAATTATCACGTCTTTTCAAAAGAGACAACTTTAATAAGAATTATTGTTAAATTAGAATATACGAGGGCTGTTCGAAAATTATTGAGACATTGTGTATATTATGCTTTCTAATGAACGTTTTTCGATGAAAATTTGCATGTACGTTTGACATACACTAAGAATTAATAAAAGCAAAGAATATTTTACAAATATTGAATATTTTCTGTACAATGGTATATAAATGCGCCATCAGTAGGGGTACCCGGAGCTGTCTAGAAATCAGATATTGAAAATATGTAACACCAAGCGTTCTAACTCTTCGTGGACCCATAATAAGAGCGAAAAAAATTCTGTTTATATGTATAATTTTTCAGCTTTAATTCAAATTCATGTTGTGCAACTTTGTTAGAACTTTGATCAGGAATACGGAGATCAGAAAAAATTAGGCGCGGTAGAGAAATCTGCTAAGAACGAAAAAATGGATTCTGACGTCAAGGGCGGAGCAGTGAATTTGTGTAGCGCAGTGTAGAACTCTTTTCCTGACTCAACGACCTGCTAAAACAGTAACAACGAGAAAAAAAATAATGTGTTAGGGTTTGTTATTTCATTGATATACAATTTTTTGCAATTAATTCAACCAGAGTAAAATCAAAAGCTCCGGACGACCATCAGTTATAACGTACGGTATTAAAATCGTCACGGTATAAATATCGTTGATCCGCGTTGCATAAATCGGCACAGCATGATTTTAAGTAATCTTTTCCCACTAATGAAAATTTTACACTCGGGTAGCAACAGCATACATTTTTAAGCAATAGTTTAAGAAAAGAGACTGTTTTTTTGGTACTGTTATATGTTAATACAAAGAAGGCAAAGTATTAAACGCATCCGGATCATTTTACATGCGAAACCATCTCCGGCTGAAGTGACGTTAAATGATGTAGCGATGCTGCTCCGGGTCGGTAGACATATGCATGTTTATCATTTCACCAAAACGTTTTTTATTAACATAGGAATTAGAAATTTTGTACAATTGTTTTATTCGTTCTTTATAAAATGTTGATGAATTTTCATGAAATTATCTCCGTCCTTTTTGGAGTAAATGTAATTGTCTCAATAATTTCCGAACAGCCCTCGTAATGCGTTTAATTTTACAATAACGTATTTTAGTTCACGGTAACTGGGGCAGTTGGAGTGGATGGAATTCGTGTTCTAGGACGTGTGGAGGTGGAACAAAATCCCGATCAAGGAGCTGTAATAATCCAAGTCCCATGTACGGAGGAAACTACTGTAGTGGAAGTTCAATAGACACTGCATCGTGCAACACGAACAGTTGTCCGAGTAAGTCTTTATTTTCTACATTTGAAACATATTTGTTTTATTTTCATTCATGGATCTCTCCTAATAATACAAAGTAAACGATTAATTAAGAGACTGCGTCCAAAGCATTTTATGAAGACCCAATTAGAAAAAAAGTGAAAGCAAGAAACATTGATGATCTTAGAAAACCATAAAGCAGCAGAAGTCTGTGAAAAAGACATAAAACGTGAATTTCTGAAAATTCCAGAACTAGGATCAAGCGTTAGGGAGGGAAAGGCATACCTTGTAGGACTAGCAAATCCATCATGAGGCTATTTCACCTTTTTTTAAATATATTTTTTTTCTTTCGTAATTTGATATATACACTGTGCATTTGAAGTTACAATATCAATATTGTATTTCTAACAATTAACTACGTGTATAGTTAGATAACAAAGAAGGATGCAAAACATAAACCACATTTTGGGATCAAAACAAGAGTTTAAAGATAACTGAGGACGTCAATGTAACAAGCATATTAACCTCGGTTACATAATCAATTTGTTTTAATCCTGTACAACTAAGAATTCTAGTGATATTCAGTTTAATTGATAATCTATTTTAGTTGACGGAGGTTGGGGGTCTTGGGGAGGATGGTCTTCATGCTCGAAAACCTGTGATACTGGAAGTAAGTCTAGGAGTAGAAGTTGTAACAATCCTTACCCCCAGTACGGCGGAGCAGGCTGCAGCGGCACATCACAGGAGAGTAAGAGCTGTCAAATAGAGGAATGCGGTAATTCACATAGATTATACATTTGTACCTACAGGTATCTGAAAGTATACGTATACTGAAAGTAATTTTGTTCACAATTTTCATTAGCTCTGAGTAAGACTCATGAAATAATTTTAAAAAATTAATTCTTACGACAATTTTGTATAATTATTTCTTATTTCTAATAGGATGGTGGGGGAAAAGAAGAAAGAGAAATACGGTCTAGGACTTGATATTCACGACGATGAACGTCTTTTCATTATGCTTTATATGTACACAAAGCGTCAAGCTGACTGTGCAACTTTATGAATTTTTCACTTAACTTTGGAAAGTAAAACATTTTGTGTCATGAGACATCAGATGTTTCCTTGCTTTGATGACTTTTCTCCTCATTTAGATATCTCAGCCGAGTTTTACATTTTGATGATGTTGTGCAATTAATATGAATCTTACGCTTTACACAATTAAAAGACTATTCGCGTACATAAGAATGTCCAACAAGCTAACAAAAAGTTTCAGAGGAATCTAAGGACAGCATGATATATCGAATATTGCACAAACAATACTAGTCCCACTACCGACAAATATAATATATTCCCTTTATAGATCATAGATTAAAATTGACAAACCTTTGAAGAGAAAAAAAAATGTAATGGTTTTTAAAAACTCATTAAGGAAGACTAAAATTCCAAAAAAATAGCTCAATTTAGTCAAACGTTTGGCAATAAATGCAGAAAAGACTTCAAGTTTCCCTAAAAGATTGAAAAGGCTGTAATATCGGTAAAAATCATCCAAGTGGAATGTATTGCATGTTTTTAATCGAATGCTCATCAACGTTAACTCAAAAAGCCAGTTATCATCCTAACATCTACAAGTGGCATAATTAATTGGGGCTGTCTGACAGAGGAACAGTGTGACGGACAGACGACGAGAAAAGGATTTCATTCCCGTTTCATCGGTATGGAACTTAAAAACCATTAACAATGCCAGTTTAATTTGTAAGGAGATGTTTCAAATGAAAATACATGTATACCGTTCACGGTAGCTCAGTCGGTAGAGCGCTCGCTCCGTGATTGGGAGGTCGTGAGTTCGCATCTCGGCCGCGACTGACCTAGTCGTTAAAATGGGTAGCAACTGTTGCTTCGCCATGCGCTCGGCACTTTGAAGTGAAAGTTGCGGGTCCATTTTTTGTATTTAAAATCAGGTCCCTGTCAGCAGCAGGCGTTGGCATTTCCATCACTGCTCAATGGCCCTGAGTGCCGAGCAAAGGTCAAAATTTGAAGCCCTTCACCGGCATACGGTGACGTCTCCATATGAGTGAAAAATTCTCGAGAGGGACATTATAAATCAATCAATTTAAAATAATATTACAAACGTAATTTATCGTCAAATACATGTATGATACAGAGTCATGAGTTTCTTTTTGAAGTCTTTTACACGCAGATACATGCAGAAGAAAATGCACATTTTTTCTTAATAAATATTCCATTCACTACTTAGGTATGCATTTATTCATACTGTTTGAGTCAAGCATGCAAAATGACATCATAACATGCAAATTATGTTAAATACATTATTGAAAATTTGAAAGAAGCTGAATGTCTTACGCTCAAATATCGATTGATTTTTTATCATCTTGTAATTAATTAAAAACTTATCTGAAGACTATATGATGAAGTATTCCAATTTTATGCATGCACATTGCTATGCTATGAACCCCACAGTGCACAGGTATACTCAACCATTCTTAATTATTTTATTTCAGACCATGTTAATCTTATATAATTCATATATGATGATTCCGTATAATATATGTTTTTTTTTTATTTGTTGTTTGACATAATACAATGTAGGTTGTTCTGTATAATATGGTTTTTAAATAAATTTTCATTTCATATTTTGAAAAAAAATCAACATAACAACATTGCCTAGAAACTACATTATTAAAAATGAAAATTTGACAAAGTAATGATATCTCTTTGATAAATTTTAAAGCATCAGTTCAGGTGTTGGGTTTCACAAGAAAATGGATCAGGGTTTAGTGCAGACCAAATACTTTGATGTAGATATCAAAGATAAAACATCAATAAATAGCATTAAGAATAACATGAATAAGAGGGAAATATATTTAAAGCAAAGAATTATTCCGATAAACTCGCGCTAGATTGATATCCTGTTATTTATTCCATTGATTTATTCTAATGGCTAATACTTGACTCTTTAAGTGAAATAAGGTCATTTTAACCTTGCAATTAAAAGCGCATAGAGTGAATAAAAGACTGAGAACTTATCACACAATCTACAGAAATCTATCTGTCCTATGTATGTTTCATAGTTACGTTGGTTATAATGTTAATAATGTTAGTAGGTTTAGCAGATAGACATGTTGTAATGTGGCTATGCTTGTACAATTTAATAGCTAAAAGTTTGGAAATTACAAATACCTGTTTTGATCCAAACGTTAATTTTATTACTGGTAAAAGACTTGATGTCTCTCCATTTTCACGTGTGCGCGATCTTGGACCAAACTCATGCTACATAGAATGTCAAAAACACGGTAATTGTCTCTCAGTAAATTATAATACAAGGTCATTTGTCTGCAATTTACTGGATAAAAAACTAGCACAGGACAAACACCTACAGGACGATGAGGATTTTATATATATGGAAATTCCTGGCATTGTAAGTATAAACAAGGTAAACTCTAGAATATTTGTTCTCATTCTTCTGTTAATTTTCAAATAATAACATTTTAAAGGCAATTTTTAAGTGAAAGACTCAAGGAAGCCCTCTTAAATGAACAGTACTAAAAACAAAAACAGGACCTCATATAATCATTGTAGTATAAGCATCAAACTGGTATGAATACAATGCTCCTAGTTATTGCCTTTGAGGAATTGTCACAATTGCAAAACTGATTTCGAAGACCCTGTCCGACTTTAAAAAACCCTGTCTTACTCAGTAAACAGTATTTTCACAGAATGTGCTGTTTAACCATAGTTTGGTCACTGTATGTCTCCTCCGTATCTACATTTATCATCAGTAGCGCATGGTGTATATCCACTTTTATGGTACAATTATATACATTAGATTCCAGTATCCCTTCAATAAATTCTGCAAGTTATTCGAGAATGCATGACATGCAAATGTATATTGAAAGGTCAAAACGAATCTGATTAATTAACTTTTTTGTGAAGACCAAAATTAAAGTTTTGAACAGACGTGTAGTTATCAGTTTGTTTCTTAATTTGCAGACTCTTTCTTGGCTAATGCATATTTAAATGCTCCCATATTTAGAGTAAATGTCTCTGGTAAATATATTTCGTCCATCTACTTACCAGAGAACGTAATTCAAATGCATGATACACATAATTCAAAAATATATTTGTGCAAATATGCAGATGCATTTCCATCTGGCTAAGGAAAGATTATCTTTCTTAAAAGTATTACACAAATTTGCAATAGATCAATTAATAATTCTAAAAAAAGGCTCATTCTCAAGTCGAATGTCTGATTTCACAATCTTCTTACAGAGGTCTGATAGGCCATATTTCAGACTATGTGGGCAAAAAATGTGCGGTTGAATTTCGTTCATATCATATATAAAGAGAGATTTTGTATCCTAGAACAAAATATCAAAGTTTCAGAAAAATTGAATTTGAGGAAAAATTAGGCATATCTATTGTGTCCTACCTTAAGAGAAAAAAGTTTAAGTATTTTTGTTTAAATATTATTATTATTTTACAAGTCAAATATCCCCCTCCCCCGAAAAAGTTTTATACATTACCATTTAAGAAATAGGGAGGAAAAAATGCAGTGTTTGATTGTATGAAGACTTATGCGCCGTAACACTTGAAATTATCATCGTTTCAAAAACGCACATGTTTGGCCACGTGTGTATAATGAGAATGTATGAAAATCAATCAAAGGTTACATTGTATCAATGGAAATATTGACGTCATTAATGAAATCCAGAATGTATTGAATACATCTTAGTTGACTAAAGAAACTCACATCTTTAGACACGTGTTGATAGTGCAAATCGATGTGAATCACCGAAAGGTTATCAAACGATTAAAATCTTGAAGTCATAAATGAAGTCCAGAATACATTATATATACCTAAGCTGACTTTACTGAAATTAATGGAACACACACAACGGACGTACCCATGTAAATAGTTAAATTAATATGACATAATTTGACCTTGACCTACGATCAAGTACTCAAAATAACGACACATATATTATTAAGTGATATAACCTGGTACTTTTATATATGGCTATAACTCTTTGGTATTTATAGCAAAGATTATTATACTATTCGTAATAGCATTTACAAGCTGAATTTTCGAACACACGTCTATGATAAGAAAAAATAAATATCGACTATGAATATGCAAATGAAAAAAGATTTTACAAAACACTACATTAAAATAGGTAATACATAAACATCTTTTTTGTAAAAATTCATATTTGTTTGGTATTGCTTTTAATTTGCTGATTAAGTGTCTGTACAAATGAACTAAATATATATATATATATATTTTATTTTGATTAAACTTTTTTAAAGCTTTAACTAGTTTGTATATGTAAAAATATATATATATATATATATATATATATATATATATATATATATATATATATATATATATATATATATATATATATATATATATATATATATATTAGTGTTTCGTAATAGCATTTACAGGTTGAATAAAAGTATCAAACACACGTCTTATGAGTAACGAAAAAAAATAAATATCACACTGTGATATATACGATTTTAAAATAAAGAAAAAAAGATTTTACAAGAAGGCAAATAAAATTAAAACAGTTTCATATATACAAACATCTTATTTGTGTACAAATTCATATTTGTAATATGTGGAGTGTCCAGTAAATCGTGGTTTCCGTATATTTTAATAGGTGATTTAAGTTAGATTTAACAGATTTTGAATCAGCTGTTCTTTTGTTACAACTCCAAGCTTATTATGTTATCTCGTTAAATTATCAAATGAGGTAAATAACTCAGGCCTTCAAAAAGTATACCCCAAGAAAGTCAATTATATACTTGAAAACTATCAAAACAATTTGATCCACTACATATAATTATGTTAAATCATTTAAATTTTATCTTTTCTATGCCTTTACTATGTAGAATTTATTTTATTAACCGAATAGCATATAAGTAAATTATCGACATAATATTTTTTACTTCTTCATGAATTGCTCATTCAGAGAAATGTAATAAAAAATATATTAATAACTAACAACCAAACGATTTCATATAACTTCTTCTGGTTTTGTAGACAGATCAAAGCGAGAAGAAATGTGGCGAGG